TTCGGAAATTGGGCGTGAAATTCGCAACAAAGTTCGCAAGTTTATTTCAAAGTTTGAACTTTGATTGTAAACAAATGTTCGTAGTTGGAGTTGAAATTACTGTATAATTCTATGCACATATTACTTGCAGTAAAATGTTGCTCCATTGGTCTCCCAAGATGAAAAATGCCTTTTTAAATCAATTTATAAATGAAATTTTTACATTTGTTTACAATCGAAGTTCGAATTTTGGTGAAGAGTTTTCTAAACGCTCAGTATCAATTTCCTCATCTGTTTCCATGTTTCCAACCTAAAAACCTAAAAATTGCGTTTTTAACTACCTTTTCGAACGGATTTAGCAGTGTGACTTCGCTTCGCTCGGAAATACGATGGCTCGCAAGCTCCTGGCACCCCGTTGATACTATACGCAGCGTCAGCAATTTGGCTTACCACACATAAAAACGTCTCAAAAGTTGCCACTTACGATGAAGATTTACGATAAATCCTCGTATTTTACCCAAAACTCGGATAACGAGCGAAAATTAAAGATTTCTAAGTTGTCAATAGGGAATTGTTTTATAGAATCACGCCATGATGCACTATAACTGCCACATGATGCCGTCCATCGAGTTCAGTTCACGAAAGGGACGTGATCCTTTGAAGTTTGCCGGCCTTCCAAACCATCTCATTTAATAACTATGATCTATATTAACGAGGTGCCAGCACGTTAATATTAAGTACGCCAGGTGCATGCCTATTAGTTCTCCGTGTCGTATAGCTAAAGTTAGTATGCGTGGTTGTAAACCGCGGCGCTAGAATTAGGAAGTATTTGCTAAAATAATTTTCAAGAAAAACTTAAAATATCTCTATTTTAAAGTTAAAGTATTTTCCTTTAGGGTATAACATCTAAAAGCTCTGATGAAAATCAACAAGTATATTACGATTGTTGGTACAAGTTGAAGGTACATGTCCGTTTAGGATTTTAAGCTGTATATCATTCTCCACACGTTTATAGATCAAAATGTATTTACGGGTATATAAGAAGCAACAAGTAGCTAATTCTCAATTTGATTTATATAAGGATTTGTAATATAAGTGGGATATAATAGACAATTTGATTGGCTAATGCGCGTGCATTGTGACGCAATAATGCACTGTGGTCTGTGGCACTGCCTTGTTCTTTCCCCCGCTTCGTCTCTGCTTTTTAGCCAAAAATATAAACAAAACAAAAGAGCTTTTAAAATACAAAATTTACCAGAAAGCAAGAACGAATAGACTAAAGGAACAAAGCAATTTTATTTATCTATAATTCTACGTGTAAAAACAGTAAATTAACCGTCTTGGTATTCGTCGAATTTGTCTTTGTCTCGACAAGTTTTGGGTGATTAAAAGCGTGGCAACAGCCGAGGGCCCGAGAAAACGATACAGGAACACCAAAGAAGATACAGGAGTACGAAATATAAAACACGAAAAAAGGCAACACAAACTGACATAAGTGATTTAGAACTGTCCAACACGACGAAACATATGATTTAACGTCTTTCATGGCAAATGCAACAGCCCAAAGCTGAAAAACATTAGAAAATCAGTCTGTGTATCACTGGGTGTTTCTCCACAATTTTAGCATCTAAACTTTATCAAAATTTTATGTTGTTTTTGCCCTTCGCTCGCTTAAAAATTCAAGCGACAGTAAAAACATGCGCGTGACGTCACTGAGTGCATGTTAGGAGAATTCCAAAGTTGATCTTTTGAGTAAAATTATTTACTATGTAATATGACTAATATCTTTTACTTATATTATAAAAGGAATAGAAAAAGAACTGTTCTCGTGCGTTTATAGTGTGATAATTCACTCAGGGAATGTTGGGAAAATACTCACAACACCCCTCGCGTACATTATCACACCACAAACGCACGGGACTCGTTTTCCATTTCTTAAATAATACCTACCATTCATAGTTTTACATTAAAGACGTTCTTTTATCCTAACTTTTTATCTTAATTCCTGACTGTTTGAATTTTTGTATCTGCGAAGCAGATATATGCTATCGCAAACGTGCCGTGACCGTACCGTACCGTATCTTAACACATAGCCATTCAGCGACGAGCTTATATAATTTAAGCCAATCAGCGGTTATGTTATATCGTGTCCGCCATTTAACCTGCGAACGGGCATGGTCTGGCCTCGTGTTATTCAGGTATTCTCGCCATTTTGGATTTTCAAAAATATCTTTTTGTCTTATTTTCTCGCCATTCTACTATCAACGACATGGAAACTTATCCTCATCTGGTAAGTAGTCAAAATGTCAAATACCAATATTTTATTATATACATTTTAATATACAGTAAACAATCATTGTGTAATATTTTAAACAGTCAAAACATAGCAGGCAAGTCAGGCAATATTGCCAATGAAGAATATTACGATATCAAAGGAAACTAATGTTCTCAGGAGATATTGACTTAAATCCTTGTCCTGTATTTCTGTAACTCTGTTCAAAACAACAGTCCAACTAAGCTGTCATCAAATGTAGTGTTAGAGCGAAAGTTAAGATCTAGATGTTATCAGTTAAAATATGGCATATTGTAAACACTGGACTGGACTTTGGACTGGACTTTGGACTTTGGACTTTGGACTATGGACTTTGGACTATGGACTTTGGACTTTGGACTTTCGATTTTGAAATTATATTATTTTTTAGATTTTCGTATAATTATATTAAAATCTAAACAGAGAACGAAGATTTGCTGCTGAAAAGCGTGCTACACTGCATGCACATGCATGATATAATAATATACAAGGTAAAAAATCTCTAGTATCAGTTATATAGGTATACCAGCAGTGCAATTTCATACGGATATAGCTTGTAGGACAGCAAGATTTATCCAATATTTTGGGATTTAATATTTAAATTTTATATAATATTTGTATTTATAGTATGCATAGTACAGTGTATACTGCAGAACTTCTTCTTTATCATATAGATAATAGATTAATTGTCAGAAACAATTGTGACAAAAGTGTCTCGGCAAATACAAAATATTAACTATACAAGTGATTATTATCGCGCCTACTGAGTATTGAGTATTGTGACTGTTCATCTTTGCATATTAAAATAGTTTATACTAGTACTGTATTGTGTAATTGTTTACTCCGTTACCGACAGTAACGTTTTGTTGATGTTACTTATTTTTGAAAGACATTCTAGTTAGCTATCCTTATCACTAATTAAGTGTTAGTAGATGGACAGGTATATTCGACTAACGGAAATTTACACACTTTTTAAGACCTACTCAGTTGTGCCGGTGTGAGAAGGCAAAAATCTATGTCTATGTGCTTCAGGTATTCTAGCAAATATTTGCCACGTTTACTCAGTAATACTACCACTTGCAAGTGATGAATCAGGCGGGAATCGCAATCGTAGTATAAAGATTAATGCTCAGCCGCATAACGTACGCAAAAGAGCCATATATAGACAATAATAAATATATACATAAAGTATACTAATTACTATAGATTATCATAAAGTAATCAGTACTACCAATTATATAATAATGTATCGTACATTCGTATTTTATAAAGTATGATGACTATGAGAGTTTTCGTGTTCACTCTGGCTGAATACATTTATGAAAAGCTAAAACTGACACAGACAAAATACATTGTAAACACAGCCTATTTAGGCAGGCGCTAAACCGGTGTAAACTATTATGCAAAGATGAACAATACCGTCATTAGTATTTTTGCGCAAGTGAATAAATAGTACAACAAATCCTACAAGTTGTCAAGTTGATTGGTCAAATTTGACAAATTCCCTAGCCTCCTTCGCAGACATCAGAGAAAACATACACAACTGGCAGCTGCGAGGGAGACTACAAATTCCCGGATAATCACGGCCTCGCCTTCGGCGAATAATTGTTCAAAGCCAAAGGCGCAATAATAATCGCGTGTAGTTTATACTTATACGTGATAGTTTCTCAATATTTTGTATTTGCCAAGCTACTTTTGTCGCAATTGTTTCTATAAATCTATTATATATACGATGAAGAAGTTCTGCAGTATAAACTGTACTATACATACTATAAATACAAATATTATAATAAAATTATTAACTTAAATATTAACTTAAAAATATTACTGAGATGATCCTGTTATCCCACAGGCTATATCTATGAAATTGCACTGGTATACCTATATAACTGCATGCCATGACAGTATTTTTTACCTTGAATATTGTATCATGCACAAATTTTCGTTATCTGTTTAGATTTTAATTAATATAATTATACGAAAATTTTAAAAATATAATTTCAAAATCGAAAGTCCAAAGTCCAAAGTCCATAGTCCAAAGTCCAAAGTCCAAAGTCCATAGTCCAAAGTCCAGTCCAGTGTTTACAATATGCCCTGGAACAACTTTGAATTCAAACTTTAAAAACCTGAGAAAATAGCACGCCTACGGTAACTGCTGGCTTACCAGGCCATATTAGGCACCACTGTACCTTTAATACAATTGTTTTTACTATAAGTCTTTAACACATAGCGTGAAGTTTATTCTAAATGTACTCTGTGGTATATTTTGATATAAATTATAAAAAAAAACCGTTTCACTCTATAAAATTCAATTGTATATTCTTAACAGGTACCAGAAATTTTATGGCAAACCATGTCGAAATAATCCAAGACTGTGAAGAGGTGGAAATAGTATCGTGCAACAAAGATACTGTGGGAAAAACCCGTCTTCAAAAATGGTCCAGAGGAATTTATATAGTAGCATCAGCTGGTGGTCACATTGAATACTGGCAGCCGCTATATAAGTAAGTAATATTGATCTTAAAAATTTTTATATTAAGATGTAGAGTACAGCACATGGCACACAGTTACAGATATAATTTTCCATGGAATTATGACAACAATATGTTATGAACAATTACAGCTAATAAGAACAACTGCTAATAAGAACAACTGCAGTCAGATAAATTCATACTGCAAAAACAGATTGTTTGAAACAATGAATCTGACAACCAAATTGGGTGTTGTTTTAACCAATCAGTTTTTACAGCGTATTTTTATTCATACAGGTATATGGTACCTTTTTCATGCAATTTCTGATCAGTATTGGTGTACTGCCTCCCTAAGCTCTGTAGGAGATATACTCGATTTAATATAGTATATAAAAATCATTTCCGTGGCGTTTCAATTATATTTCAGATCCGAATCTCCAACCCAAGCCTTTATGATCACGGTTGTTTGGTTATTTAACAAGTTTATGGCTTTAAAAGCAAGTGGTAAAAGTGATGAAGAATTGCTTCAAGCAATGGAGGAGACTGTTTTAGCCTATGACAACATGTGTCATTTAGATTCTCTCCGTATTTCGAGGAAGGATTTACCTCTTCCTGCGCCATTCAATAAAAAGTGGCAGAAAGTTGGGAAGGTTATTGATCGCCTGCACTTGCAGAACCACAAAGATCCCTTATGCAAGGTCAAATATAATCCTGACAACTCCTTGTCTAAGAGCGTCAACACAATGGCTGCAGAACAAGTAAATGTTTGGGCAAGTCGGTTAAAGAGAATTATGGTGTCTATGCCATATATGCATCACATGTTTTTCTTTCATAGAATGGTGAAAAAAAGGAATGCATATACGGAATTCTGTTACAGAGTTGGAAAACAACCCATATGTACTTTGCCACGAAAAACGCACCCATAATTGTATACATTTATAAACTGTAGTACAGTAATTTACTAATTTCTAGTGTGGTGCAAACTATATAGTATATCAACACGATTTATTTTCTACTGACGATGTTTCGATTATTCTCTGCTCTGATCTTGTGCCTGAAACAGGAAAACAATGGCAAAGAGTTAACTCGTTAAGTTTCTCATTTTTCATAGTCAAGAATCACAATCATCCTCAAATGAGTACGAGTCTTGACTGGTGCTACTTATTGGGGAGGGGCTAAGAAGAGACTTGCGACTAAATATTGGAAATACGTTATTTGTATCATTTGAAAAAAGGACCAGTATTTTTTACAATTAGAGAGCTTAAGCAAGCAAGCGAGCGAAGTGAGTTTCAGCAAGGTTGTAAAATGTTTTCAACAAGAACTGTAGACCCAATGACTAATAAAGGCGTCGACTTTCTTAAGCTGCCTAAAGAAACAATGTGCCAAATAAAGAAAGTGCCTAGAAGTACATTTAAGTTATTTTTACTACAATATTAAGAATATTTTTCCAATCTTCTGATCTTTATTACAGCCAATTTCAGCTGACTTTTCATCGTAAGATTCCGAACTTCGTTCCGAACTTCGCAAATTCGTTTGCCAAGTTCAAAAGTTCATAATGAAATTCACAAACATGCAGGTTTGTAAACAAAGCCTCTGATTGGTTATTAAATCAAACCAGCCAATCAAATGCCCAGTTTACAAACCTGTTTGTGAATTTCATTATGAACTTTTGAACTTGGCAACGAATTTGCGAAGTTCGGAATCTTACGATGAAAAGTCAGCTGAAATTGACTGTAAGATCCGCTTTGGGTAAAATTGAAAGCTAAAATAAAAGCGCTCTGTGTAAACTTGTGGCCAAGACAAAAATTTCATTAGATTCTTCGCTATAACAATTCAAATACCTTCTACAATGCCCTTGTGTAAACTGTCCTTCAACCTATCAATTTCGTTTGATCTCCGTTTCTCTACATAAAGTAAAAAATTGAATTGTTATGAGCTGTTCATAACTCATAAGTACTATTTCCTTCATAAGGTTGAATCTGCCTTTTCGCGATTACACGTTTTACATAAATGACGTACAGGCGAACTGTATATAGGCTTAGTCTTAGATATATTTTTGACATTGTATGTACAGTTGGTTGTAAATAATCCAAGGGCAAGGACATATTTTGTAAATACGATAGATTTGCATGTTGGAGACGTTTCTGTCAATCAATGTCTTTTAAATTAGACCAATGTTTTGTCACATCTTAGATAACAAATAGATACTGTAGATAATAAATGAAATAAGTTGGATTAACAAATTTTACATTACTTTTTTGTCCATCAGCAAAAGCCTTTGGCGTTTTGGCAACTTCTTCATTGTCATCCAAAGAAATTCCACTATCTGTAATGAGTATATTATCAAAAATATATAAATAATTATATTAGAGTAATTCAGTGACGCTGTAAATGCATTATTGCACTACTGCCTACACTTACCATCGAGCGAACGTTTTTCTCCCATGGATGATGGCGTTGGCTGATACGTATCTATACAAACATAAATTACCAGTGTAATAGTGGTTGTGGCATCCCAGATTCAACAGATGTAGAATGTGATTAATCCCATTAACACAGTAGATGTTGCATGACACTGTAACAATCAGGGCCGCCCAGAGGGGTGGGCAAAGGGGGCAAATTGCCCCGGGCCCCGAGTTGCTGGGGGCCCCTGAAAAATTTTTGTTGGGCCCCAGCCTTTTTTGTGTGTTAAATATTTCCGCGCAAAGGACAAGATATCTGTTTTCTTGGGCTAAGTACCGAATTTTGGCATAAAAAAATGAGATAAAGTCCCTCGAAAGCAATTGCAACGTACTCGTCCGGAAAAATTTTGTACTCCGGAAAAATTTTTTTACTCCTAAAATGGTACACTGACCGAAAATGTTTTGGCGACGGGGGGGGGGAAGGTTGTTTTTTTAGATAGGAGCCCCTAAAAAAATTTGCCCCGGGCCCCCGCCAACCTCTGGGCGGCCCTGGTAACAATACTATGGACCTGCTGTTCAGGGAAACTTTAAAGGCTTGTTTGACGGGAATTGACAATGTGTCAATGAGGAAATCTATGAATAATTACCTTCATTGCAAACAACAGTGGCGAATGAAGTTGCTACAATGCTTTCACAAGATGTGTCATGAACACTTCTTTCCAACTGAGGCTGAGGACGCAGTTTTCTTATGGTGTCACATAGCTCTTTCTCTTTCACCTTCCACTGCTTTTCTCTTTGTGCAAAATCCTTCTCCAGATTTATTATTCTCTCTTCAGCTCGGGCAAACTTGATCTTCTCACTTGACAGATCGTCTTCTAGCTTCTTTTTATCACTTATTAGTGAGCAGTTGTGCTCCTCTGAAGCATTCAAATTTTTCTTCAAATTGTCGATGATTTCGTTCGTATTTCGGCAACCGTCGTTCCTATCTTCATTTCCACCTTCGTGCCCATCTTTGCCACAAGCTATACAAGAGTAGAATAGGATACATTTTGGTATGCAGTTCGAACTTCAGTTGTGTTTTCCTTTTACATTTGTCGTTATTGTTTATTTGAATTAATTTGGTTGCTTTATGCAATCATGTTTGAAAATTTTGCAAATCTCTTGCATGGCCATTACGACTATTCTCTAAAATAAATTAACCACTCAGTTGTTCAATTCTTACAGCCCTGATTGTTACTGTCAAATTTGTCAAATTGTCTTATCTTTGCTTGATACCAATTATTTAGTGGCCTAATTATATAAATGGGGTGTTTTTATGAGCTTGCTATGAGGTCATGTTCACTGATGAATGTTATGCATGGCGATTATTTTTGAATGGTATGTTGGTAACTGGAAATATATTTGTTTTTATTGTACCTTTGTCAATAAGTTCAAGTAGGTCTTCATCCAACATACTTCTTGGAATTTTGACGCAGCGGCGCTGTACACCTTCAAAAAACCCCGAGTGGTCAACCGATGTTCCCTCGCAATTTTCAATAGATTTTCTCAATTTCCTTAAATTGAATGCCGCAGGTGTATCGGCCGTTCTGTTCTTCAGAATTGCTAATACGTCTGGCAAGATCATATGCATTGCATATCCGTCTTTTGTTGTTGTGAGGACATAGGGACGTACGCATTTTTGCAATTCCTGTAAACGGATTAAAATGATATTATCCAAATTTGCGTGATAAAGTACAATACTTTCGGGCTCTTCTAAGCCTTATAAAGTTGCTATAATGGTGAGTGGACTGACTAAACCAAGACTCATTTTAACACGAGAGACCAAGGCCCAGCGCAGAAGTATTGTAAATGGACCTTTCACCTTTTGACTAAAATTTAGATCTCAATAAGTCTAGACAAAAATTTTATCACAGCTCGAAAGAGCATCACAAAATTAGTAATATTCCAAAGTTTCGTTGCGAAATGTTGTAAAATGCGGATTATATAGCCTTGCAAAATTTGCAATTTTCAGTCATTTTGTATTACGCGCGGGAAATCGAGAAAACCAGTATGTATTTCCCGCGCGTAATACAAAATGACTGAAAATTGCAAACTATATCCGCATTTTACAACATTTCGCAACGAAACTTTGGAATATTACTAATTTTGTGATGCTCTTTCAAGCTGTGATAGAATTTTTGTCTAGACTTGTTGAGATCTAAATTTTAGTCAAAAAGGTGAAAGGTCCATTGAGCTCCAACAGATCTTATGCATAATGACGTCACAAGGCTTGATGCCCACGAGGAACGCTGGTCTTAGTAGTCGTTGCCCTGGAAAATTAAACAATTCAAATTCGAAATTTTCCCAGGCGATGACTGCTAAGACCAGCGTTCCTTGCGGGCATTGCATGAGATTTATCAAGTGAGAGAATCGGTCTTAGAGGCGAAGTTGTCTGAGCAAGCGCCTTTCACCTATAAATATATGTATGTACATAATATCTTTATTTTATTTGAATGAAATGACGTAAATATAATTATACCATGAGGCAATCTAAATTCAAAATAAGCTTTTTAGTTTCCATTTTGGATTTCCTCGCCACTATACGGCTTACGATGTTTTGTAGTTATGTTATGTTATATATGTTAAGATCTGTAATTTGTAATTGTAATTTATAATAGATTCATTCATTCATTCAGAACGTGGATTCAATTCTTGTTGCGGTCTCGTGACACTGATGTCAACCATTACCGAAAAACCGTTTTCGTCAGGTACTCTGGTTTCCTCCCACAAGAAATATTGACAGAATGGATCGGGATAAATCCCAAAAAACCCTACTGTTTCATCGTACAGTTGTGCTCCCTGATCAGACGTGAATTGTGTGGTATTGGTGTTAGCCAGAGGCGCCCTTTCTAAGCCGTTGACTTGGGTCAGTATGAGGTGCGTGCTTCGCACTTCAGCTTAACTCTTGGCCGCAAGTAAGGATGATTAGCACTCCCCCTACTTACTGATTATTCATAATATTTTACGATACGTCAAAAGCACCTATAATAGTATACCTTATCAAGGCCAGTAACATCTTTTAAGCTCTCTTTAAGACATTGGAAAAATTCTGAGACGTCCTGCAATTGCTTCATGGGTTTGAGAGCGCTGGAACTTGGCAGAATGACTTTCCGAACATAGGGAAGGAATATTTTATCCAGATATTCTTCAAACTCTTCCGATGATATTGAAGGTGGAGTAGTTCCAAAGTCTCCAGCATTGTACTCGCTAATAATCTAGAAATGATAAATAAGCGGGGTTTTTTGAAATGGGTGTTTTAATTCGCTATCAGTTTTCTATTTAGTCACAAATAGCATATATGGTTCACCATTCCATGTTTGAGACTTAACTGCTGTTACGACTTGGGCGTTAACTGATGTTACGTACGTGAAAACAAGGCTTTATAGCCAAAGTGACTAAGGGTGTATTCTTTTCTTGGTATTATTAAAGTGGCAAAGCTCGAGTACTGCCTTGCTAACTACTTTATGAATGACCTGCCCAACTGAGAAAAAAAGTTTTCACCTCAATGACAATTGCCTTGTAAAGGCCATATAATTTGTGAACACGTGGGGGTAAAGCAGGATCTTTTTCTCTGAAATAGGCAATCTGTTGATCAACCAAGTTCTTGTTGTTGACTAATTTTCCACCTAGCTTGATAATCCATGGAAGGCACCCAGTGTTTGTTTGTTCTTCCAAGTGATCTTTTGCTTGTCGGTACTTCGTTGGATCTTCTGGAGCAAAAGGTGCACTGTATACGACAGGAACGATTCTTTCGAAACATCTGAAAAAGAGCGTATAAAATGAAATACACTGATATTATACTGCAAATGTGTTTTTATACAACTATTGTAACACTGAAAATAAATAGAAAATAAAGTATGTATAGTTACCTTATGTCATCATCCAGTTCGAAATTCACCGCCAACACAACATTCGTGAGCGGTATTTCCTTTCCTCTGCCCTTTGTTCGTTTACCTTTCGAGTCGAAGGAGCCAGTCAATAACGATTTGACACTTGACGGGTAGGTAGGATCATCCCAGCATAGCGGTACTGTGGTTTTACTAATTAAACTTTGTATCACTTCACATGTGGCTTGTGATTCGACATTACAGCCAAGCATCTTCGATACCAAATGGATTGTGGTTGATTTCCCAGAACCAGGAGGGCCTATGGCTGTTGGAGCTGGGCACGCATCTACAAAAAGAAACAGCAAATATGCAATGTATTTTCTTCCAGCTGAGAAAAAGTTGGGGAACAAAAAACGCCAAAGAAATTTTTCTCACACACGATAGAGGACCGGATCTAGTATAGGATTTTAGGCTCCAACACTATTTTGTTCGCTTCGCCTTGCCCAACTTCGCATGCACGAAATAAAATGTGGCCCAGGATTTGAATCGCTATTTAGGGGATGGCATTTAGTATACTAGATAGAATCATATAATGAAGAAGATCGGAGGCAACAAAACTAAATATACAAATACCTAAATAAAATATGTTACCAGAACCTACCTGCAATTTGAATTGAGTAAGGGTAGTGAAAACAAGCAATAGATCCAGCCAGCATCATCAGTGATTGGTAATAATTTACGTTTAGGACGGGCAGTGCTGAATCAAGGAAATTATTCCAACTGAAAAATACTGGCGAATCAGGGACGTCAATCTTCAACTCAGCGTTGGACACGAAGAGATCTTTATCTTCACTAGGGCATAGATACGAATCCATCCACATATATTCTCGGTCATTTGTATCAATTATTTCTCCTTCCCAATTAAACTGAAAATGCACAGAAACAAAAATTCAAAGGGAGCGCCACAGCGATTAAACGAGAAAATACGGTATACTTGACCGCGAGTCAAGTATATATAGATATCTTATCATGCAGAGTTGGAAACTCTCTACAAAAGAGAGACGGAGTGCTAAATCTAGTTTAAATGGAGCTCAGCTGATGTCATGTAGATCATGTTTACAAATTGGACAAAAGCAATAAAAAATGGTGTAAAACTGCCTTTTATATATTCTTTTATATGCATACCTGCAGAGACTCGTTGAAAACATATACATCGTTCTCTGGTTGCCGTTTTGATCCAGGCTTTAGAATACCTTGTCTTCCAACAACAGTTACTGCTTTTTTTGCCTTTCCGCCGTTAATAAAATATTCGCGGGTCATATCCTTGAGAAGTGATTGCAACTGCGAATCCCTAATGTCTTCCCAAAACACACCGCCGCAATCTGCTAAGGCCTGATTAAGGGTGTTTTTGAATTTTTTGGCCGAGTCCAGATTCTGGCACGATATAAAACATTTCCTGTGAAAACAAGCAAACGGAATAAAAATCATATTACTGTTCAAGACTGCCTATCCTTAAAACATAAGTAACTGTCCTTAAAATCTCTGTGTTTAAATGCCAATTAAATAATGTTTATGACCTCAATTTCTAGTGATTTTATATTATCAACTTTAGTGTCTGATTACTACTATACATCACATATATTTGCGATAGATGAACCAGGCGGAAATTGTAATCTTAAGATAAATATTAATGCCCAGCAGAAAATACGTAAAAGAGTAATGTCTTAAGTTAAAGAAGAAACGTTAGCTTTCTAATAAATATTTTAAACCATATTTTTGATATGGCTCTTTTACGTATTTTCTGCTGGGCATTAATATTTATCTTAAAATAACTTCTTCGTATGTTTGCAAGGCGAAATATGACATTAATAAATGGTTTTGGTATGAAAACAGTTTATTGCAATGGTCACGGTCAATCGACCTTATGCATAATGACGTCACGCTTGATGCCCGCCAGGAATGCCGGTCTTAGTCATCGCCCGGGAAAATTAAAACAATTCAAAATGGCCACTAATATTTCGCAAAACACAAGTTTGTGATTTTTTCTCACGCGGGCAACGCAGCGAGTCAAATGCCTGGTCAAATTTAATTTCCGCCCAGTGCAACCTCATTCGCTACTGTTCTGAAACGAATTTATATAAACTTGATAAAGTAGAGCAGAAATCCATTTAAAGCATCTAAAATTACGGCTTATATACGCAGGACATATAACGCTTGTTGGTCATGAACAAATTATTATGAACTTTGTGTCGGATATCGATTTATACTAGGTGTTTATGCATGTTTTTTTGTCGGATTACTTAGATTTCCTTCAATTGCGTCACAACATTCCTTGACTCGCTGCCTGGCCATATCCTGCTGCGCTTTAGTTCAAAGTTCGAACGCATAATATTGATCGCTTACACGCGTTTTGCTAAAACAGAAATTAGTTCAGCAAAAGCAGTGTCTGAGTGAAAATGGAATTTTAGAGCATTTTTTCGACCCACGACTTTTGCGCACGCACGACCAAAACTCAAACTCCCGAACGAGTTTCCGAAAGTTAAATAATTTTAATTTGATCGTGCGTCGTGGGTAAAAGTCCTGGTTCGAAAAATGTTCTAAATTTCCAGTTTCCCTCAAACATTGCTTTTGCTAATTTTCTGTTTTAGCAAAACGCATGTAAGCAATTGGCAAATCCCAACTAAATATTTAACCGAAATTCCTCATATTACGCGTTCGAACTTCGAACTAAAGTCAAGAGCACAAGCGGCAAAAGCCATGCAGGCGGCAAATAACCAAACAAATCTTATGACGCAATTAAAGGAAATTCGGTTTTCCTTTGAACAAAATTTCGGGCTGCAAGCAGGATAACAAAAAACATGCCCGCACAAACTTGCCGAGTTCATATTAATTTGTTCATCAAGCGTTATATGTCTTGCGTATAAACCGTAATTTTAGCTGCTTGCAGTTGATTTATGCGCTACTGTCTGAAATTTGACCCGTCGTGTTGCCGGCGCTAGAAAAAAGTCTCTCGTGTGACCTAAGTTCAGTCAGAGCTCAAAATAAAGGGACTGCTTACAGTCTAAATGGTCTAGTCGACCCATTAACTACAACAGCGACTTAACCCCACAAACTGATAACCCAGAGCTGATACCATTGAAGTGCTTGAGTTACGTTGTCAGCGCACGTGTGATCTACGCTTTAGCACCCCAACTGAACTTTACAATATTAATAAATAGCAAATATTCTTCAAACGTGTGTGAAGTTAAGTTTGGAGATATCACTGAAAGTTTAAATCTTTCTAAATTTTATGTAAGAACACAGATATTTCCTAATTAAACATTTTTGCAGCATTTTCCATATGATTACTCTCTTTCCATAAAATGAACGAAAACGATATAATGGGGGCGCCTCGTAGGTATAAACATGAACGCATGCAGTACTTACTTTGATATTTGCGTTTCTCCCAAAGACTTGTTTACTTCAAACACATATCCACTTATGTTGTTCAAAGGTCCCTCAAACTTCACCATATATAATATGCCAAAACCGAAGTCCGATACAGATTTGTATATTCCTGTTTTGACTTTTTTATGTAGACAAACGGAGCCATCAGCATCTTCCCTTAAGCTCAGAGACTTAATAGGTGAACCCATTCTAACGAGGTTAGAAAGTCGTCTTCTGCCAAATCGCACATGTGTGTAGCATATAGCGGCTCTGTGCGCGTTCTCAAAATCACGTGTTACAATGTATGAACTATGAGTGGTTGTCATAGTATGACGATTAGAACGGAATATTTCCTGTAGGTCAGCTGTCAGCACAATGTGAATGACAGTACTGCAGAGTGCGGGCTGTAAAATGCAGAGTGTCATTGTTTTCAGGGGCGCCGGAGCCCGCAACTGCCCCCGTTGCCCCCACATTGCGGGGGCAGCACGGGGGCAACAGGTTGCCCTTTTTGCCAGAACTGCACCTCGAAATTTGTGCATTTTGTTTACATTAAGGTAGTAATATAACCATGCACTCAGCACAGCATTTTTTAATGTCATGCTAACTTGACCACATATATATAAGACAAGAAAATTTGTGCAAGGTCTTCAAGTCAAGTACTCAAGTGTGTAAATATTTAGAAACAATACTCAAAATAGAAACACTGAGACTTACAATGAGATTTCACGAACAAAAAATACACCGCCGCAAGCTAGTGCTTGAAGTGTGAGTTGTGGCGCTATCGAGAACACTAAGTGAAGATGGCAGCACAAGAATGCGAAGACAGATCTAGGCTGACTTCTGATATGACAGTATGGAAGAAAATATTTTCTAAAGGCCAAATGCAAAATAATTTTCCTATGTTTCAAACCAGTACATGTCGCTACCACAAATTTGGCGGGAAAAGCAGAGATGGTCAAAATAAAGAACAAAATTTAAAAAGTCATCTTATATAATGTCATTTAAAGGCACAGTTCAGCCTTTTGAATGATGGTTTTTAAGGCGCCTTTCAGGCAGCCCCCCCCCCCCCCAGAAATTCTATTCTAAGCTTCAGTCGGCAGGACTGCTATTTCAGTCGGCAGAAAAGCGTCGGCATTAATCGTCCTGATTGGCACTTGAAAAGGATTAACATTGACGTCAATAGCCAATTTTTCATACCATTACTTGACTGTGGCATTTCCCACGATAACATCTATATGAAACCACTCGAATAGACTCGTCATCGCCGCATAGTTGGTCAACCTTTTTAATTACATACAGTTGGACTATTAAAACAGAGCCTGATGTTTTTGGACATGCATGTACCTAACATGTTTTGATGGCTAATAGCAATAGTTACAAATCCTATACCTAATTCAAATCCTCTATGCATGTCAACATGCATTTTATACCTTAGGCGTCATACGCGTCCTATGTAGAATTTTTTCAGTCATGACCAGCTATTAAATAATGCACCAACATATTCCCAGTCCCTATTTATTTTCATATAACCATTGGTTCCTTGTACAAGTAACACGAAACATACTTGTCATGTTTTAATAGTATACTTTGTAAATATAATGATGGATAACTTGAGTAC